CATGCATAATTTCCACGTTCATAAAGGGAGTGGGGTGACCCTCTTTAAAACCATCCCGTCACACTGATTTTCTTTTTTCTGAGCTTTTCCTCTTTGCAGACAACTAGGAGGTGTTTTAGACAAATTCTTAATCTTACTTGAAGTAGGCATTTTTTTATGCAAGGATTAAATTCCTGCCCAGCTGTTAATATAATCCATAACTTCATAGCAAGACATTCAGCTTCAACTCCCATTTCCTGTGGTGTGTCTAAATAAGAACTAAACCCGTCAGCCGAGTGTAGAGTATAATTTTTTAGAGGCTTGAATCAATGTTAAATATAATTCTCTTCCTTCTTCAATTAAAGATTTGCACTATGACAGTTGCTTAATCTCAGCTTGCTTCACAGTTTTCCAAAGAGTTCTCTGATTTTTTTATTGTAATTACTTGTCTAAAATGGTAGGTTCAGAAAGATGAAAAATCATTTTCCTTCATTATATCCTAGTGTAATTGTTACCTGCGTCTTTCTCTTTAACTGCTGTTAATTTCTCTTTTCCCAGCAGTTTTAGAAACATTTTGGCAGGTGTTAAACACGGAAAAGCCAAACTTCAGAAAACGGCCAACCACCACCTTTCCTCAGGCAACTTCATTAAGACGTTCTTTATAAAATGAGTAGTCTGTTTTTAAACAGATGTGTTCCTTGACTTCTAGTGTTAAAAAATTGTTCTTGGTCCAGAGTTTCTGTCCTGCAGCTTAAGTACCGTCCACACGTCCTGTATTTGGGGGGATTTGTTCTGTTTCATGTTGTGTGTCCTCTGTAGCCAGGGTAGTTGGCTCTGCTAGCAGCATTCAAATAGTTAAGCTTGTCTTAAGGAAACAAGCAGCCTGAGCCCTCCCTCCTTCCCTTTCTCAACCAGTCTCTGGCTTCCTCTTTTGGTTTCTCTTATGGTTGCTCTCATGGCCCCTTGGAGCTGCTGGGCTCTGCCCCGCCGGCATGAGCCCCTCCTTCCGTGAGAGCACAGTTCGTGGCATGGGGGTCGAATCATGTCGATAAAATGGGGTCGGTTTCATGAAGCACCCCTTATAACAGTGAGATCCATAGGACCAAAACATGGGGAGGTAAGAGCTTGACTTCTTTAAAGCACTAAATTTGAGTAAAAACAGAAAGAGACAGTGGATTTTGTTTTGTTTTGTTCTTATCCTTGGCAGAGCTAGTTTGGATTTTTGCAAAGCATGAGGAAATTATTTACTCAGATTTGAAGAGCACTGCAAGGCTTGAGAGAGTAACTTACTTGCCGCAGATCTTTTTTAACCCCAGGAGCATGCTTTTTTGGCTTTCCTGAGCGAACTGTCAGATGCTCTTCAATTTAACATTTTATGTATGGAAAGGCCTTCTGCAAAATTTAGTTAAAAGAAAGAAATTATTTGAAAAAACTCAGTTTTTGTTATTGATTTTTACTAGAGTTTTAGATACTTTAGCAGTTACTAATTTTCACTCAGAACTGTTTCCTGTTTTGTAAAGTGAAGTAGTTTGTTTTCTCTCTTCCGCTCGTTATTTTTTATAGTTCTAAAGTAGCAGTTCAGCTCTTAGAGTTCGATTACATGTGTTCTATTAACAAAGGACTTTATTTTTTATTTTTCATTTATTTAATGGACGTACTGAGGATTCAACCCAGGACCTCAGGGGTGCTAAGCACGTACTATATACCGTTGAGTTATATACCCTTCCCCCAACAAAGGATTTATTAAATGAGTCATAGACTTAGCAAACATTCACCATTTCAGAACAGCAGTTGGGTTCTGAATAGGAACTCAGAAGACCTGGTTCTGATTTTAACTGCACATACCATTTGCTGTGTGACCTTCTGTGAGTCAACAGACGTCTCCTGCCCTTGGCAGTAGAGTGCAGTGAATGTGAGTGAGCTTTGTGGCAGATCTCGATCTTAATTCCAGCTTGGGCAGTTACTGGTGTGTGGCCTCCAGTACAGAATCAGACATGTCTAAGGCCTCAGTGTCCTCAAACAAGAAGTGGAGGTAATAGCTGGTACTTACTGCACGGGGTTGTCATGAGAAAATTCATGTCAGTAGCTTACTACAGCGCTCGGCACATAGTAACTGTTCACTCTTAGCTGCTGTTTATTATCTTTCTCTTCTCAGTTAAAAAATGGGAAACATCATGCCAACCCTAGTCATCTCAAAGTTATTGAATCCGATGAAATAATGTATGGAGAAGGCATTGATTCAAAATGTAAGGCATTTAGCAGTTGTCATAGTCACTAATTGTGGGGTACCTATCTTCCAGAAAGTTTTTTCATTACAGCAATTACAACCCATTTTCCAGGGCATACAATACTATTGTTGTAATTTTTTTAATTCCTGGAAAATGGATACCCCGAAATTAATGATCATGACAACTACTAAATGCATTCTTCCTGCCTCTGAATTGTAGTTCATGGTCTGGGTAATTCGAAAGAAAATTATTAATTTGATATTTTTTAGAGGTTTTTTTTTTTTTTTGAATTGAAGTACAGTCAGTTGCTGTGTCAATTTCTGATGTATAGCACAGTGTCCCGGTCATGCATTTATGTGCTTATATTCATTTTCATTCATTTGATACTGATAAACCAGCCAAGTGTCTGCCTACATGTGCTTATAAAGGACCTTGTTTGGAGAGCATATAGTTACATCCCACAGTCCTAGTCTCCTAAAAGCAGAGTGTACCTGAAACATCCTGACTGCTTTAGGTACTTCATTAAGGATCTCAACACTCATTAATTTAAAAAAAGTTAAAGAACTTAAAGAAGTTTTAGGGTTTAAATCCCTCCTCCCCTCAATTTGAAAATTAGGCCAAAATTAATATCTGTGAACCTTGAAATTCTATTTAGTAAAACAGAAGATGTACATATGGGGGATGTGTAGTGTTTTTAGCTATAGTAAATAAAGGAGGAAACATCAGGGATGTGCCCTCACTTAGGGATATGTGATTGGTGGGAGGCAGTCAGCGGGGAACCTCGAGTCACTTTTCACGCTTCCCAATCATTGTCCTGCCCCTCAGGCTGGTCCCAGAACTATTACCATCCCATCTGCTGCTCCCTGCCTGCAGCTGGCCCTAAGCTTGTCGCTTGCTTCCTGTGTGGGCTGAGCTGTGGCTGACTGAGGAGGATTCGCGGCCACCGCAGACTCCTCCTCCTCCAGCACCGGAAGCCTCTTTCTCTTCAGTGTTGATCCTCAGGCATTGTGTCTGTTGGAATAAATAACCAATGAATAAGCCACTGCCCAGTCTTCCAAAGGTTTTTCTAAGATAGCTTGAATGCTCACAATTTAATTTAGAATAAATATATATACATATGTCCAAGACAGTGTTCCTAACTTTTGTCCAAAACGTTCACCAGCCACTGTTGACCATATGCCAGCTTGGGGCCCTTCTAGAAGGGAAGGCCTTCTAGTGTTCAATTAACTGTTGATTCTTTTCTTTGGCAGGAAAAGGAAAAGGAGAAAGATAAAAATTAAGGAGAAGGAGAAAGAGTCTAAAGAGAAGGAAAAGGACAAGAAGACTGTCAATGGGCATGCTTTCAGTTCCATCCCTGTGGTGGGTCCCATCGGCTGCAGCCAGTGCACAAAGCCCTTCACCAACAAAGACGCCTACACTTGTGCAAGTAAGAGACGTGCCCCTGCCTGCATGGTGGAACTCTCTTGGCTCAGAAAAGCTCATTTCTCGTTTCCTGTCTGTCCCACCCCTTATTTGTTCCTCGTTTATGTAGAGAAGTAACCCTTTTTCTATCTTTAAAAATCATTGAAGAAATAAGTTCTAGGTATATAACATGCAGCCTATAGTTTTGGCAGGCAGCCCCAACTTCAGATATTCTGTCCTGCTGTCCCAAAGCCACTACCTTATTCTCGGTCTATGTCAGCATTGAAACAGTCTCAGAGCGGTCCCTTGTCAGGTCACATATGCTCGTTTTTCATTCTGGTGCTTTGGTATATGTTTCAGCCATTGACCAGCGTTAAGTCATGGTAACTGCCCAGGGAGGAGGGCAGCTCGGTGTGCAGAGATGTTCCATGTTGTCCTCTTACTGCCCTGCCTTACAACCCCCTGAAAGCCGAGTCGGTTAACTGAACATGGTTCCTTGTTTTGGTCAGATTCTCAGAGACAGGTCGGCTAACCTTTTCTGTCAAGGAGAAGATAGCAAGACTTTCTGGGCAGCACGGTCCCTGCCACAGCTGCTGACCTCTCCTTCTGTGGCACCAAGGTAGCCACAGACAGCGCAGAAGACAGTGAGGGTGGCTGTGTGCCAGTGCAACTGCATTTATGGGCAGTGAAATTTGAATTTCATGTTCTTTTCATGTGTCATGGAATATTAATCTTTTCTATTTTTTTCAACCATTTAAAAATGTAAAAACTACTTGTAGCTCACGGGCCATACAAGAATAGGCGACGGGCCAATTAGCCCATGGGCTATAATCCGCAGACCCTGGCTCTTAGGCGCCAAGTCTCAAAATTTTTGTGGTTTCACGCAGATAGAAATTAATAACATTCGTAGTGCAAACCAAGGTAAATCAAGGAGGCTGCTTGTGGTCAGAAGTGACCAGTGTGGAGGTCCAGTCATCCAGAAAGCCAAGGTGATTTTTCATCATGTTAGACCTGCAACCAGTTCAGACAAAGCAGTGACTAATTCAGACTCCCAAGAAAGCCCTTGTCAGACCATGATGTCATGACATTGTCTTGTTTTCAGTCATTTGGGTGAAGTATCCCAAGTGATTTGTTACTAAAAATAGCTACTGAAATTGGAAATTTTTAAAAGTTTATTTGAGCAGATTCACCGTTACTGCAATAATAATTTCCACTCACTTGCTTTCTTGACTTGAAGAGGAGGGGTGGAGGAGTGTGTAGCCCGCTGGCTGTCTACTCTCTGCTCCCACTGTTACGACTTTTTAGACAACTATCGTGAATACTTACACGCTTGTAAAAAGGCTTCTTGTGGATATTTTATTGTCTGCGGCCCTATTTGTTTCTAACAGTCCTATTTAAAAAAAAAAACAAACCCTCCAGGGAGCTCTTGTCTTTTTATTCATCCTGGTGGGCAGATATCACACACATTTATGTCCTCCTTCATGTGTGACTTCCCAGGAGATTGAGAACTGCTCCAGCACAGTAGTAAGTTTTATGTGACCTCTCAGAAGCGAGAGACTGTCACTGCCCAGTATCCCTCCAGCATTTCACTCTGCAGCCCAGGTTCTAACAGGACTCATTCCTAGGACACCAGTCGCAAGTCGCCAGTTTAGTTTCTTAACCGCTGGACACAGTCAGCTTCTTGGTACTGGAATAACCTGGCTGCCTAGGGCAGCGGTCACCAAGCACTTTTTAGTATTATCTGCCGTTAAAAGATTTTTAGTCTACTCCTCCAAGATGTGCATATTTAACATAAAATTGGGTACGTGTCCTGTACTACACTCATAAAGAGCTCATTCTAGGAATAAGACAAGTCAAATTTGCCATCTTCTTGTTTGCTGGTTAGTGATTAGTCTCTTTAATATTGTCTTAGGTGCATAGTTTTCTTTGCAAGAATTTGTGTTTCCTTTTCACTTTATTTTAGTTGAAACTGAATATAATTTATAAGCTTACGTTATTGAGCACCTGTAAGTTTCCATTCATCACAACATACTGAAAGTAGACGGACGAGGAGGGCTGTTCCGCAGCCCTGACACACACTTTCGAGTGCTCTTCTTCCCTCCAGAATCCTCTAGTATCACATGTGATGAGAAGCTGCCTAACATCAACGCTGACTGAGCCCCCAGGGTATCGATCTAAGTCGATATAAATGAGAGCTGTGAAAATGTCCTCCTCTGTGTCAAGGAATCATTTCATTTTGTGCATCCTTCCTACAGAGGGCCTGTTCTCCATTTGGAAGCGTTGGTCTCAGAGAAAAATAGGGAGAAATCACATTTCTTGATTGGCAGCATGAAATTGATATTTGAGGAACTTCATCAGTACAGCAGACTGAACACCTGCTTTCTGCTATGAAACATAATTTTTAATATATATTTTCAATAAAACGTACTTAAAAAAAACCTAATATATAAATAACTGAGCTTGCAGAGAAGAAAATCCCTGCAGGCACTCAGAATCAGAGCAGTACAGAGCACCCCCCTCAACTGGGGACAGGGTGTGTGGTCTCAGGGCACATAGTGCCATCTGGGACGGAGACCCCTGAAGAAAACCGAGAGCTTTAAAGACTAACAGCCATGCTGAATGGCCTGGAAAAATTCCACCCACTGCCCTTCAGAAGCAGCAGAGAAAGTTGCCCTGTCCCCAGGACCCTATGGGAGAATTCTGCATCACATAAATCCAGGGTCCAAATTTACACCATCCATATCTCCTGGAACCCCAAGTTAAGTAAGGAAGCAAACCGCTATGAAGATGAGTTAGCGGATGCATAGACAAGAGAAGATGTTGAGAGTTACTAAAGGGTTAAAATGAATAAACTCCCTAATGAAAGAACAGGACACAACAACCAAGGGGTAGATGTGAAAGATAAAACTTCAGGAGTGAGAGTAGTTCTTGAAGAATCTTCGTGGAGATTTTTCAAATATCTCAGTATTCTATATCATCAATGATTGTTCCGATTTATATTTGTATATAAAGGAAAAATGGCTTCCACTCTGTCATCTGCTTGTAAGGGGGCAGCTGGGTGAGTGTTCTAGGAAATTTTGATAACTTTAGACTGGATTTATTTTTTTGCATTTAACTCTCAATAAGTATGTATTTGAGTTTCTTATCTCAAATGAAGTTACTCAACAAAAATCAGTTTCCTGAACTCTTTCAAGGTGCCGTGGGATTCATTCAAAAGCAGTGCAACAAATGCTCCTTGAGCAGCTTTATATGCCAGTCACCTTTCTTTTACTCTTTTTCAATTGAATATATTTGACATATAACATTGTGTAAATTTAAGGTGTGCAACGCATTAATTTGGTACGTTTATGTATTGTAATCTGATTGCCATAGTAGCAATATTTAGCAACTCTGTCACATCACATAATTATTCTTTTTACTGGTTGGAATATATAATTAGAGGCACCTTTCTCAAGTTGCTTATTACACAGTGGCTTGTAAGAAGAGTTCTCAAGGTTAATCCTTGGTACTTACTCATTGCAGCATTATTCATAATGTGGAAAAATGTAAAGAAAATAATATCCAGTAATAAAATACAGTATAGTCATTAGATGGAATGTTAGGCCAATAGTGAAAAGAACAGGATAGATCAAAGGCCAGCAAACTTTTTGTGAAGGAACTGATGGTGAGAATTGGGCTGTTAGGTCTCTGTGCTGGCTGTGCTAGTCCGCTCTTGTAGCACAAAAGCAGCTGGAGACAAGACAGAAAGTGAGCTGCGTTCCAGGGGACCTGTGTTTACAAAACAGATGTGGGCTGCCTTCGGCCCCCAGGCTATATGGTTGGCCACTGGGGTAGATCTGCAGGTACAAGCAGATCTCCAAGACATTTTGGTAACATGAAAGGCAATGAATAGAACTGTATGTATGATCCTAATTTATAGAAAAAGAGATAAATAAACAGTAGCTGTTTATGTAAATATATGAGAATATGTCAAAGGCTATACACCAAACTATGTACTTGAAGAGATCAGGAGAAGAGAGTTGGAAGGGGAGTAAGTTTTTATTTTTTACTTTTTGTGTTGTTTGAATTTTTTAAGATTAGACTTAAGTATTGGTTGTATGAGTAAAAAAAATGTAAACATTGGACCACTGATAGTTTCAAAGGCTTTTCGGGTTGTCATCTGCTCTCTGATGAAAGAGCAAAGTATACTGATAATTCAGGAACTTAATGGACCAAGAGCAGAATCATCTGTGGGAAACAGTCCGCTTGACAAAAGTTGCTATTAGCACCACCGTGAATAAGAAGCAGTGGGGTTGATTCTACCAGCCCCCAGTTCTGAGTTCTGTGATGTGACATATTATCAGAAGGTTTAGGGACCAAAGAGAAAGAAAATCTTTTTTGAAGACCCCAAAAATCATTTTCTTTATGCTCTAGAGAATCATAGGTCTATGCTTATAGTGAATAGATGACTCTTTCCATGATTAGCTCCAGATTAAACTTTTCAATTTAAATTCAGGCTGGAAAGAGTTACCTACTCTGCGTCAGTGTCTGGAACATCTTATTAGTGCTCCTGGTCTTTGTATATACATTATTTCTAGGTTAGAACAGTCGAGCTTTACCCTCCTTGGCTATATCGACTCTAAGTCTCCGCTAGACTACAGTGACTGAGAATTAAACCTGCAACTGGTATATGACTGACTTGTCAGATAGCAAAAATATCCACTATAATGTAGAACACACCTCTTTTAACCAGGCATCCTAAACCCATTTTTGGTTTTTTCATCCCATTAAACATACGTAGAAGTTCTCTTTTACTGGACTCCCTCCACAATGAAATACAGCGTGGGCACCTCAGACTGTTGAACTGCTGGTGCTGTCAGTACAGTGTGCGCTAGAATTCCCCCTGGAGATGATCTGGGTACCTCGTGGAAACCTCTATGGCCCAAGGATACCATAGCAACCCAAGGAGAATCACTTGTGTGGGGCCTGGTACTGATGAGGAAAAGCTAAGCGTAAGAGGCTTGAGACTTGTAGGCTTAAGTTCTC